TCTGCTTGGAGGATCTCAGTTTTGAGCGAGATAGGTCCCAAGAGTATTTGCTTCCTGAGAGATATAAGAAAATCCCAGAAAGCGAGCAGAGCTGGGTGTGTCCCAAGCGATCTGAGAATTGTTCGCTACCCCTGATACTGGGCCACTGGGAAGCAGAATGTCCTCGCCCGGTAGTGGATCCAATATGACTGCGACGGTCGCGTCATCCCAGGGTGGTCTTCCACGTACAGGAATAAGCTAAGCTCCCCTAGCATAAGGAGTATCCAGATATTCCAGGACTGATTTGGAATTATATGGTGAAAATGGTACTTTGTCTGTTGTGGCATAGGGCTTAACGCACAACGCGCAACGCAGTTTTAGGCAGGCAATCTGTAAAACGGGCAGAGTAAAAATGGGGCTATTGTGCGATCCATTTAGGACGATTAATGTTGAAAGTTGCTCTAAGCCAAAAGACCACGAACCTGAGGTATCACTGTGAAAAGTGGAGAGATGTCATAATGGGTCCTTTTAGATGGCCTTACCAAATCATTTGGAGACGGTTCTTGTGAAAGAGATCGAGCTCTACATCGAGAAGTCCTAGCCTCATCTGTGAGCGGTTCAGGATCTTGTATTTCGGACTCGTGTCTGTTTATTTTCCCCGGGCGTTTTCGGTCATAACTATGAAAATAAACAGACAAATATTCAAAGTCTGTGCTTTCAAAGCTAGATAAATCATCTAGCGTGAAGTAGTCCCAGTCCGTAACGCCCGGGCTTGCCCCCCAGTCCTTGAGATCCCGAGCCCACGAGCCAAGCCTTCCTTGTTCCTCCGACGCTAAAGTAGGAGGATCTAAAGCAAACTTGAATAGTTTCCTATCGGAAAGGTCTAAGAATGAATTCAGTTCATTGACAATACCCAAACGAGGACAGATAGTGCGCACCAAAGTTGTATTCGCCAAAACTCGCACTGGTGTTCACCCAACCATTTGAATAACACGCAGCATTTACGAGAGCCCTCCCGTTTTCAACAAGAGACGTTGGCGAAGATAAGTGTACGAAGAATCGGCACAGTACAAGAAGTGCGCAACGGATGGAGCCACAATTTCTTCAACCTTTGCCGCGACAAAAAGGCAAGTGATACCGACTAGTTGCAACTTTGCAAGGGAAACGACGCGTGCGGAAAGGAATCGATCGATAAGGTTAACGCACAAGAACAGCGTTTCTGGCAAAAGACGAAAACGGACGTGGACTTGGACCAGCCAGTCAGTGAGGATTCCACGCATCTTCCACGCAAGCTCTTTCTGGCTTTCCATGTAGTTCGGGTTGGGCATAGTGGTAAGCTGCACGTTATGAATCATCGGTGATATAGTTAATGAGTATGTCAAAACAATGCGCACCTCGATCTCTTTCATGTAGTTAAAGATCTCAATCACATACTCGCTAACCATCAAATGGTCGTCTGCATCCTCGGCATCGAGGTCATCCCATTGGTCACCGTAGGGATCTGCCTCTGGTTCACTATCTGCGTAAGCTTCAAGAGCAGCTTCTTCGGCTTCCTGTTGTAACTGTTCTTGTTCGAAGAGTTTCACTTCGTCAGGGATGTCTGAGGACGTGCGCCGCTTCTTGAAGACACGATTGTCCTCGACGTCATCCTCGTGCTTTGCGGGGGCCGAGTTGGCAGGCGAGTTGGAACCTCTGATGGACAAGTCTCGTCTACAACGGTTTGCAAAGCTAAACCCGAACGTCTCGTCGAGACCCGGCGTGGCTGAGGTTCTGCTGAGGGAGCTGCATTGGTAGTTGGATGGTCATCGATTGCCATGGCATCTTCATCTGCAACCTTTCCAGACTCCTCCTTCACCTTGTCCAGATTCTGCACTTGAGGTGCCACAACTGTACTCCTTGTGGCAAGACGTGTCGTAGAACCTGAGACAGTGCACAATGGTTGCCTTGCTGCAGCAACCAGGGACGGTTTTGACTTGATCACGACGCCATCAAATTTCTCCTTAACCTCCTTGACGGGATCAGCTTCTTTCCTCTTCCCTTTGACTTCCTTAGCTGGAACATTAGTGGTTTTGTTCTTGTTCACAAATCTCGTGACTTCTCCCAGAGCCTCACGCTTTCTCTTCCCTTGAGCGGCGAGATTGACCTTGTTCTCATCATTACCGTTCGCCTTTGCTCAAGATGCAGCGGTTGCAGCAGTAGCTCAGGTCAGACCACCAATCGTAGCAGTACCAGAGCCATTCGATGATGGGGGTTTCACTCGGGCAGTAAGACGCGATGGACGAGCATTGGCATTCTCGTTATCTTTAAGAGTTGTCGTACGAGTTGTCCGCGTTACACGCCGTGTCTATTAAATGAGCGATGAAGTCACAACAACGAGCGAGTAAAAGATAGAGAAAGCTCACAGGAATATTCGAAGCCATGAACAAGAAATGTCCGTTGAACAATAACTAGGATATGATAGACGACAGAAATGAAAAATGAAAGGGTAAGAACGTTGCAGACTGAAGCCAAAGGTGGAGAACGACGGAATATCCATACTAGGGACTGCTTGTCTGTTCCCAGTTGTCCTTAGGTATGCTTCGCTGGCAATTCGGACCACATCTTCTTTGTGCGCAAGAACCAATCAGAATCGACTGTGTCAATGAGAAAGAAGTCGCCAGAAACTTCGTAGTCTGGGGCCATAGCTGCACCACGAACTATTGAACGAAGAGGGACGAACTCAGCATCTGAGCGTGACTTTTCCCGAATTCGCCAGAGCCCAAGGTCCTTGTCTTTGTGTCACCGCCGACCTACTGGAGCATCATATGGTTGAACCAGCGCAAACGGATAATCAACCTGATCAATGGTACAAATAAATAGCATGATGAGGCGAGCGAAAATCCTTGAGTCCACTGTTTGCAGTAGGACACAATCATATTGTGGATGATTGTAAAACCAAGGGTTACATCGAAGGTAATCGGTATATTGTCGCCAATCGACTATAGATTCATAGTCAACTTTCATGAAACAATATTCTGTAATCTTGTCTTCAGCCCCCAATTTGATGCGTTTCCCACCAGGGAATGCTATATTATTTGCGCTGAAAAATATGTTAAGGTAATTTGAGAGCCTTATACGAAAGCTTGTGAATGCTGTATCATCCTTGCGTGCTTCTTCCAGGCCTTGAAATGATGTTGCAGGACACTTTGAGCCTAGCGACACATGACTCGTTTCGGTGATCTTCAAGTCAACTTCATCCCCTTCGAGATCACCCATTAACTGGCTATCAAAAGCTGCTATATCCTGGCGGATAAAGCATGACACCAGACACCAATGGTCAGCCTGAAGGATCTAAGTGATGATATCAGATACTGGTTGTCCTTATAAATTAGACAGACCAACCTGTTCAGCAACGTGTTTGAAGTTTGTTCGGAATCGATAAGAATCCTTGAGTGGGCCATGTAACTGCTCGTTTGGTTTTGTATTGTAGTTCCGGGTTACGCCTTTTGCTTCGATGTCTTCAAATGCATGTTTATTCATGTGCATCTTCGGAAAGTTCCAACTTTTGTCTCTAAGTCCATCTGCCGCCTTTAAATATTCCTGCACAAGTCTTTAATAATTAATGAAAAATAATGATGGCAACCTACATCCATAGCTTGTGAAAATAGCTTCAAAGCTTGTCTACCAGCTGCAATAGTCTCTGTCGTGTGAACTGTTAGTCCTGTATACATATCAACATCAAGGAAGAGGCGAATGCTCTTCAAAAGAAGATGTGCTGGCTTGTGTAATCGAACATCAAATATATTGTGCGAAGCAAAGATAACCATCTACAATAGGTATTTAAAAAACGACGAAGGACGAACCATACTGATTATACCTTGGATATATCTTCATGCTTTGTTGCATCCGAAAATTCTATGCTAGCCACTCTGTCAAAATGGTTCAGATTTCGCCAACGAGGCATACCATTGAACCTAGTGTGATTTAATATATGTTATAAGTGTTAATAAGATAAGAGTGCGTACTGATTATCAAGCTGATGGGATGCTGCTCGGCCCTCTGCTTCTATCCAGAATAGAAACTCCTTCCAGAGATGATGGCCCCATAGGCCACTATTATGTGCATGTAGCCGGTCCCAAGATAATGCTTGATGCACATCAGAGTAACGGAACCTCCAAAAGACATTCTTATCCCATATGAGCATAATATAGCAGTATTAAAGATATCTCACCTTAACAGGACGAAGTCCACAGTTCTTGAGGACAATTTCCTTGTCTGCCGCTGTTTGCTGCTGCTCCGCTTCTAGTAATATAGATTCTGAATGAGCACTGGTCCGACGAGTAAATGTCTGTGTTGTATCTGAAAGTTTGTCCCTCGGTACAAGGCATATTGGGCACGGAAAATTACAATTTGTCCCACGTAATGAAGACATTGCACATCTATGAAGGATAAATAACTAGTTGATGAATACAAAGAATTTACTTACTGTTCCTCGTAGTCAGCAGAAAGTATCAAAATAATAGGGAAAAGATAAAGAACATCACCCTCAGTGCGCTGATAATAATAGCCAGTCTTGGCGTGAAGTTCTAAAGATTCAACAACTTTCAAAAATGATTCATGTCATACGACATTCTTGAAGTTAGCAAAACTCTTTTTACCCTTATGTTCCTCATCTTCCGGCACCTGTAATGAATAACCATTATGCTCTGTATAATAGTGTGGATTGAATAATATATACCACCGGAAGCCACCCTACAACTCTTCCACCTCCGACACCTGTACCATTTCGGATATCAGTGGGCAAGTTTGCACATCGTGCAATTACGGGATAGCCCTTTACAGTCCCGAAAGAAGACAGAATTGTTTTATCAGCATATAAAATAAAACATAGAGGCTTTCCACCATCTGGAAGCCTTGACTACAACATGTACATTAATTGTATACAATAGCAAATAAGTTCAACATCACGTACTTGAATATCCCAGAAATCCCCAGCTGTCCATGGTTCGTCAATGAATTGTACAAAATTGTCACCGTTAAATTTGGAAAGCCGTTCGGCATCAAATACAAAGTGCTCTGAGAGGTGCGGGTTCCCTAATAAGTCCAATGCCCAATCCCACAGCGAACGAAAATGAACATCAAAGGAATGGTCTTTGCCTTGATATGGTACATTGATTACAGTCTTTTCAAACTGGACTTATTTGTTGTCAGTTCTCATACGCAATAAATGTGTACAATATCACAAACCGGAGTTAGGGCATGAGAAGCAATCTTCCATGTCTCGTAAAGGTCAGATTGATCTTTCAGAGTGAACGAGCCAGGGTCTTGTATACTCTGGTGAATGACCTTGACTAATCTATTTATCTGGTCTTTATTTAACGCTGCTTCAAGAGCGACCTCCGCAAATTCAAAGTCGACCCGGGATTTGAATGGCTGCCACGGACATGAGTTTTTGATGCGTGCTTTGCCAGAAAATCCACGTTTGAAATCAGAGAAATGGTCCACTTTTGCAGTGCGGCCACTTGTAGGGTGGTACTCAGTTTTGATATCATCTATTTGAAGACTTTCCCCCATGAAGTTCAGCCCGACAGGGGGTGCATCATGAAAACGAGATGATCCTGTAAAGATAAAATAGTAACGACCGACAAGCACCAGACTGATATATACCTACCATAGTTATCTTCTACGTCAAAATTGGTGTCGGTGTTTTCCCATACATGTTTTGACGAAGATCCCACTGCAAATTGTTTCTCTAGTTTTTTCGCTAAGCAGAAACGTTAATGAGTACTCAGTTTCCATGTCAGACTGATCTGCCTACCTTCTTTTTTTTCTTTCCGAAGCTGCTTGTCTAATTGAAGGTCTTGCGCCAAATCTGCCATCCGCTTTATACATGTTGCTTTGTGTCTGGGGAGGCCCATAGGCTTGAAACGTCCCCCGCAGGAAGGGCAAGCTTTGAGGCCATCATCGTGATTGTCGAGAGCAATAGATTCTGTGTGGAGATACACACTGGGAACCTTTTGCTTGTCCTTCGGCATGTTTATCAAGGAGTTGTTGATACAGAGTTGTTGAGGATAGAGCTTGAAGCCAGTACAGATATACAGTTATGGGCGAAGCTGACTATGTACAGACAGATTGAAGGACGTCGTCGTTGGTGAGAGCGAATCGATGCGGACGCAATACGGTTGCCATCTGGTTGCAACCGAACCGGCCGACTGTTAGTAAGCTACACTGCTTGCACGCTGCTTATCACACCAACCCAATCATGTGCTCTTGCAACCAGTATAGGAAATCTCCGACATGACATGAACGATTCTTTCTACCCCACCCAGGACCCCCGCGTATTGGTATAAATGTCCTATCCAAAATCGCCAAATTTTGGCCTTTCCGTCTTTACTGATTTGGCTCAGTTCCGTCCGCATTGTACTCGGACCTCAATTTTTGCCCTGCCATCCGTCCGCCAAAAGGATACTACCTCAATTCACGAGCACCTTGTCCGCTTGGCAGGATACAAATTTGGATCATGAGGGATCCGTCCACACAGCAAGATATGACCTCAGATTGCGAGGGATCCGTCCACAAAAACAGAGAGAGGACAGTAAGTAGAATGCTATAGTATGACTAGTGTACAAAGGGAGGTATATATATGTATTAGTAGTCAATAAAAAGTAAAAAAGGGATGCCAATCAGATATCTTTGTCACCGCTGAAGGTATCCTCTTTGCCGTCAATGCCCTCTGCCCCCGAATCTTCTGCATCATTGGCACTGTTTGGCAATGCATCTGCGACAACTGGCCCTCCCCCACAGTGGGCTTTGATAAGAAGCTGTATGGCGGTGTGAACAGCATGAATCCTGTGGCACAATGCTTGCATAATACCCGTAGAGAAGGGACAGAGTGTGACTAAGGTGAAAGGGTGGGCATTGTCGGTTTTGATGGAACAAATGGTGAGCACAAACATACCTAGTGTTCAGGGCTACAATATTGAGTTGCAAGACAGTGAGAAAAGTGACCGTCGCTCGGCACTGGGGTTTGGCAACATTGTGGCACAGCGCAAAAAGAGTTGCTGTGAAAGTACGGTCGTGTTAGGTTGTGTGACAACACAGCGCACCGCATATGACAACGTGCACTCAATGTATGTGGTTGACTGAGGGTTTGCCAGCGGTAGGTGAGATCAACATGAACCCACATGCCGTCGAAGCCTCATCCATCCAAAGATCTGATCAGACATTGCTACCGACACACCCCGCCCGTCCGCCTCCCAGGATCAGACATTTGCCAGATTTTTGGCCTTTCCATCAGCATAGAGATCGGACATCAGGCCATTTTTAGGGTGGTTTCCGTCCGCCCAGTGGATACCACATCCAAGCCGATATGCGGGGGTCCTCCCCATCCAGGCTGCGAGAATTTAGGACATGCAACAAAAAATTGGCCATAGTGAGAGAGATATGCCGCCTTTGGCAGCCCGGAAAAGTAGAGTAATTTGACTCCTGTACCTAGCAAGTCTTCTTTTGTGCCTGCCACCTATAGCTCACTACCTGCTTCAGTGTTTGAAGTGCCAGTGATATCAATGGTTCAATGAGAAAACCAAGACTTGTGAAACCAAAGATAACTTATGTGCAATATTTGGGAGCTCCTCCTTTAAGTTGGCTAATTTCCTCCTCTAAGGTGGCTATACACCTTTGAGTTCTTGCACTAGCAACAAGAGAACCATGGTGATTGTTGCTATTGTTGTCCTGAGAGCTGTTGATATCAATAGATGATTGACTCTGAAACATATATAGCAAATCCAGGTTGGTATTGTTACTTACTGCAACCAATGCCTTTTTATCTTCTACGCACTCAGAGTACTCTGAGTTGTCTCTGAGATTTTCCTATCAGGCTGTCAATAAGCACAGAATTGCCAATCTCAATTCATGCTCAAGTCTGGCTAAATTGTGGGCTGGTTAGCATTCCAAATCTGAGTGTTACAATACACAATTTTTGGACCTTTCCTTTAATTTTCATTCTCCGCTTTAACCTTTTTACTATAGTTCACACTCCGTGCCATGCGGCACTTTCCTTTTCGTTCTAACTCCACTTTCTCGCGCAACACTGCCTTTATCCTTCTTTTAGACACAAAGTCTCTCACGCAGTGGAGCTGGTCACATGGGCTGCGCCCTCTGACATCATCAGCCACTGCTTTTATCAACTGTACAGTACATAGGTACAAACACTCTGTATTAGTATAAATACCCCAACAGATCAAGGAGACTCCTCAGCGAGTCCTCCTGTTGTTAACCAACAAACTCTCTGCAGCCTAAGGGGTAACCACTTCCCATTCACTACCTTTATAAATGTATTCTTGTGTGCGCCAGAGTAACTAACTCTTGGTTGTTACATTAGGACTTGCTCTTCTACTCTCTCGCACAATTGTGCAAAAAGACCCACTGGGCACCCGGACTCCAGGGTGAAGGAGATTTGGTTATTGGTTGGGAATATCCCGCATAGCAGATAGGTGTGCTCCTAGCGACAGCCTTGTAGTGCTTTGGGAGAAGAACCAATACCTGTGATATGCGGCCCCCACTACCAGAATCAATCGGATACAACATGATAATGGTAGTCATAGATTGATTTACAAAGATGATCAAAGCAATTCCCACACAAATGGAAATCACATTGGAAGGAGTAGCGCGATTATTTAGAGATCACGTATTTAGAAACCACGGCATACCCGACAAGATCATTTCAGATCGGGGACCGCAGTTTATTTCTAAATTCATGAAAGACCTACACACACTCCTTCAAATAAAAGCAAATCCATCAATGGCATGGCACCCACAGACGGATGGACAAACAGAGAGGATCTATCAAGAGATAGAACAATATCTCAGGATCTTCGTAAACCATAAACAAGATGATTGGGCAGAATGGCTTACCTTAGCAGAATTTTCATATAACAACTGTGAGGCAACGATAAACTATAACAAAAACAAGCCCTGTCTCCTTCTGCGCTTGCAGGGAGTAAAAGGTTTGATGAGCTTGAGGTCGACAGACGCTAGTAAATATAGCGAGTAGAGGACTTTGAGAGGTAAGCTTCAAAGGTTTCCGTTGAGGAGTAAAACGGGTAAATTCAGTAATAGAAAACTAAGGAGCCATACATGAATAGGTAAGGCTTTATATAGTGAACTGTTCGTTCCTCAGACCGAAAGGAGAATATATGAAAAGTGGTCTGAAGAATCAATCGGCCAATAAGAAAAAGAGAGAACAACTATCGTACAACTTTTAACTTGATTAATCAGCGGTGAGAGATTTGTACTAATAATAGAGGTTTGTTACACATGTTCAGGAACCGTATCCTCATGATAAGGTACAATCCTGAACAAGGCGTTTATTAGTGTATCCAGGCTTTACTGGGGCTTGGAGCTGGTTGGCGAGATGCCTATTACCAGTCCTTACTCAGTGTGCTGGCTGGCTGGGAGTGATACCCAGTCTCTGATCTGTGATATAAAATGGTAGCGATGGTTAAGAAAGCCTGTGAGGGCTATGAGAAGTAAAACGGCAAATGATACCTCTAGCCCTAGAGCCAGAGGTGTAACGGGAAAAGCGTTTGAGAACCAAGTTATAGCGAAGATAAGAAAATAATAAAATGGTTCTTACAACAACAAGCAACATTCTGCAACAGGATATAGCCCATTCTACTTAAATCATGGACACCATCCGAGAACACAGGAAGTAGTGAGAGTGGAGGTAAAAAAATGAAAATGCAGAAGATTTCATAAAAAGAATGACAGAGACGAGGAAGAAAGCAGAAGAGTCATTACGAAAAGCAGCAGAACAGATGAAAAAACAGTATGACAAAAAGAAAAGAGAAGCAGTGGAATATAAAGTAGGAGATAAAGTATATGTGAAAGCAACCAACATTTTGACGGACCGACCAGCTAAAAAGCTAGACGATAAAAGACACGGTCCATTTGAAATACTGGAAAAAATAGGTGAATCAGCCTACAAACTATTACTACCACCAACATGGCGACCTATTCATCCAGTCTTCAATGAAATAAAACTTACACCATACAAAGAACCACAATTCCCCTCTCAAGGGAAACCCAAACCGATACCACCGGTGATAGTGGACGGACAAGAGGAATACAAAGTTGATGAAGTTTTAGACTCACGTCTCAAAAGAGGAAAATTGGAATATCTAGTATATTAGAAAAACTATCCAAAAGAGGAACACACATGGGAACCCGAACAACACCTAATGTAACAACCAAGAGTGATTTACTCTGGCGCACATAGGAACACACTATAGTAGATAAAGAAGGAGGGATCACCCCTCAGGTTTCAGTGAGTTAGTTGTGCTAGACAACAGGAGGACTCGCTGAGGAGTCTCCATGTATTGCTCCTGTATATATACTAAAATACATGAGGTACTGTACAGTTGTAAATAAAGTTTAAAGTCCGATGTCTAGCATGTGACCTGTCACATGGTGAGTCTAGACTTTGGTCAGGTGATGTGTCACATGACTTGGTCATGTGACTTATAAAAGTCGAAAATGTAAAGTAAAGTAAATGGTCACATGACTGGTCATGTGACTTGGAAAATGAAAAGTTAAAGTACAAAAGTGAAGCGTAAGTAGGTGCTGGTATGTCAATTGTAACACCTAACCAATTCACCAGACAAGGTGAAAACATTCCACGATAAAAATCCTAATGCACTACATTTCCAACCTTTCGAAAATTTTACTATGACGAGAGTACGAAAACAATTATTTAATTGGGAAAACGGGAAATATGACCCTCACTTTTGAGACAAAAGTCTTAAAGAGGGGGTAATGTCACGATTTGAACCAAACCGTTAGTTTCTTTTGATTCATTATTTAAATACATCTGATCACGTGACAAATCACGTGATAAAAGCACATGACTCATTATGTAAACAAAGTAGTTAGTTATATCCGATCACGTGACAACCACGTGACAAAGCCTAGACTATGACACACAACATCAGTCAGCGCCTCATGGCTACTGCATGTTGTATCAGTCAGCACCTCATGGCTAACATTCAGAACGTATATATATCGACACCCATGTACATACTTTTCTCCAGTTGTTGATTACCTCTAAATACAGTGCTTGACACTACTTGTTGACTTTTGAAACTTATACCTCCGTTAACTCGGTATAGGGTATAGGAATCTTACAGTCCAGCCCAAGATTAAATTAATCTTCCCTAGTTGGGTAGCTTCAGCGGTGACTCGTTCTCTGTGTCCTTGGTACTCGACAACAAAAGAATATTTGTGTGTGATACAGCCACCTGCGTTAAATGTACCATCAATGTTATAGACACGGGAATAGATACATCTAATTTTACAAGGGGGAGTCCAATCCGCTCTGCCCAGACCTGGTCTATGAAGATTCTGTTAGCGCCTGAATCAAGCAGTGCGCTGGTTGGGTGTACTATGCCCCAGGCAAGGTTTTCCACACCAACATCTAAACAGATCTCTTTTTGGAATAAATATGTGTGCATCAACACACGCCTTGGGATTTTGGGCAAGGGTGGCTCCAAAGAAGAAGAAGTATTGAAAGAAACATGTTTTTCTATGTTATTTTTACCAGAATCAAGCACCCTATTGTTTGTCTCGCCGGGGCCACGCTCCAAGGGAGATGCTGGTGCAGCGGTAGTATTATAAATATTACAGTCACAATGATTCATACAAGTACAAGTTTCAGATAAATTGGGGAGCCACCCCCATCTTTCCTTTATTGCTCGTGCAACACCCCAGAGCAGGGGCCACCTTGTTGTGGTTTACTTCATTGTTTCGGGGAGCGAAGGCACCCAAGTGACCTAAGCTCCGAACTCTTTTCCCTGAGCCTTCATCTCAGCAGCCTGCTGATTGTAGAAGAAGGCCTAGATTTCATTGTATGATCGACTGGCCAGAGTCTGGAGCCGATCGTCCAGTTTTTTGGTTTCTAATTGGCGCGCCTGGCGCCCTTGGTTATTTTTTTGGTGAGCATCCTGCGCTCCATTTCTACAGTCTCGGGACATGTGTCCCTCTTGGCCGCAATTGTAGCAGTTCCCCTTGAATCTGCGCATTTGTCCTCCTTGGACCGCACCAATATCCATGGGGGCTCCCTGCCCTGGTTGCAGCCCGAACAGCTTGAACCCATGAGAATGCTTATGTTGGTTTGATGACCCAGGGCGCCTGTGGGAATAGTTGCTTTTGGTGGTCCCGCCACCTTGGTGCATCTTGTAGAGCTCTATGGCCCTACCTATCTTTCAAACCTCCTTTGCTGCTTCGGAGAGGTTCTCACTTCTCATATCCTGCAGGTAAAGCTGTTCTGCAATGTGGGGGTTCACATTGCATTCCAGCAGCTCCACTGCATGTTCATTACCAAGACCCCCTTGGATAGAGAGGGCCAGGAACCGGGTTACGAAATCATCTGTCCTCATGTTGCCTTGTTTGAAGGAACAGATTTGCTGACGCGCCCAGTCACGCTCAGCTTGTGGTTTGAAATATTTTTCGATCTTGACTTTGAGATCATCCCAGGTAGGCCACACTCTTCAGTAAATTGCGCTCTGTCTCCCTCAAAGGCGCCAGGGTTAGCAATGACTTCGACTTTCTTATTGAATTTTTTCTCTACTGAGGGGGTTGCCACAGGGGGGTTTGCCTGCAGCTCGGCGAGTTGCGTAGTTAACGCCAAGATCTGTGCACGCATGTTGTGCAACAGAGCGTTGACGTCAGGGGTTTGCAATGACATGTCGACTTGTTCCCTTGGTAAAGTAAAAAAAACGTAACAGGGGGTCCCCGCTTGCTATCTGCGGATCTACCTCTTCCCTGCTGAGTATCACATCTCAATCTCCGACTACCCACACTATATATAGTATTTGAAAATGTATGTAAAGTTATAGTATTAAACCCTGGTCTGTCACGACTTGAACCAGAAGCACTAGCCTGAGCGCTAGTTTCCTTTTTCATTTCTTTGATATCTGATCACATGACACATAAGATATGTTAAGCTGCTGCTTTAGCGCGGATAACATAAATACGTAGCTATATCAGATCACGTGACCATCACGTGACATAAGTCTAGAACCATTACAAAGAACATCAGTCAGCGCCTCATGGCTGACTTTCAGAAACATATATATAGTAGACCACCATGTGCATACTTTCCTCAGTTGTTGATTAATTCTCAATCGCTATTTGTAACGCTACTTGTTTGATTTGAGCCTTCATCCCTCCGTTAACTCGGTATAGGGGATAAGGGTTTTACACAATCAACAACTGCCACAAGTACCGTTTATGAATATAACAGCAACAATCCTAACCACCATCATCGTCACCGTTGTCATCATCTTCCTCATCCTAAACCTACTTAAACGCTCAAACCAAACTACCACTACCCTCCCACTTTATCACCTACCCACTCGCCCCGACACCATTTTATCATTTTTCCCGGCCAACGTCTCCCCCTCCTCATCCCAAGACTCGTTCGTAACCATCCCCCTGTAAATACATTTTATATCACTATAATCTCTTTGGTGTGGAACCATTGGGATTTTCTCGGTTTTACATAGTTTCATTTTCGATTTCCTCTGACCAGGCCGCACATTTGCGTCCGCCAGTCGGGAGAAGGACTGAAAGCTTAATAAGCTGGTCACATTGGGACAACCGTTCGGACCCCAATTTATCACTATACCTTTTACATAAAATTCGTAAAATACAAAAAATAGTCACCATACATACATAGTCAGTAGTGGGCTGAAGAGGACCACTTTGACTCAAAGAGAACAGATAGACTACTAGGATCTTAGAAAGCGGTGTATCGATCCAGCTTATCACTGGTGAACTCCTTTCTATGCTTAGTAGAGATTTTTACATTTGGATCGGAGAGCAACACATTTACTCTCAAGATTACGTATTCAAAAGGCAATTCCCCCTACCAGAAATAGAACCCATCAGAATCCCATCCCCTTTAATCAAATCCGAAACTCCCCCTCCTCCCCAACTCACATTCAATGTCCAACCTAGAATATCGCGATCTGCCCGAGCCATCCAACAGCACGGACAGCGCATTTACCAGGGAAATGATGGACGCATTACCCAGAATAGACACTCCCCCCCCGAAAGAAGCGCGATTGGAAGCATACGTAAAACAAGAAGTAGAAAAAGCAATAAGACAAACACAAATGCATTACCAATCGCAGCTAGACGAGGCGCTCGAAGAAGTGAGCGTCTTGCAAAGAAAATTAAAGAAACAGACACCGCCACCTCCAGAAAAGGTGGAGAGAAGTAGAACGGCACTGGAGAAACCCGAGAATTTCTCCGGAGAAAAGAAAAAATATAGGGCCTTTAGAGAGTCCTTATTACTACATTTTGAAGACGATGCCGTATATTTCAAAGATGACCAAAAAAAGATAAGCTTTGTGCTATCTTTTATGAAAGAAGGAGAAGCCGCGGCCTTCCGGACCGATTGGCTAGAGAACCGAGTCGACGCCCAACAGCTGGGGCTCGATATTACAAACACGTACGGAAGTTGGCCGTATTTTGCGGACAAAATGGAAGAAAGGTTCAAGGACAGTTTTGAAAAAGAAACTGCCAAGAACGAAATATTGACCCTGAGACAGGGCAATGAAACCGCCCAAGCCTTCTTTGAAAGGTTTGAGGAAAAGAAAAGATGGGCGGGATATACAAATAGGATAAACGAAGAGTTCCTAATATCTCTACTCAGAAGGAACATGAATAAGCCGCTAGTAGACAGGGTGATCTACGGCGGGCATATTCCCAGAGATTACCAAGAGTGGAAAAGGGAACTTATTAGAATAGACTATATTTGGAGAGAGAGAGAAAAAGAGAAGAAAGGTTCCGATACTGGAAAAAAATCCTATTCGGAACAAAAGAAAGAAGGAGAAAAGAAGAGAGACGGAACCGGATATACCTATACCGGTAGCGGAGAAAGAATGGAGGTGGACAAAGCAAAGTTCCGCACTGAGGGACGATGCTACCGGTGCGGAGAAAAGGGACATAGAAGCTTCGAGTGCAAAGACGCGCAAAAAAAGAAGCCACAATTTAATGTCCGAGAATTCTTAGAAAAGATGAGGAAAGAGGAAAGGGAAAAACTCCTTGAGGGTTTTTAAAGAGGCCAGCGGTACTGCATCGACCGACTGAGCCTAAAGACGTTTCGAATCGATTTCTTCCTTTGACTGTAGATACATATGACTCAGAATTGTTAAGCTGCAGCTTTAGCGCGGATGACAATAAAACTATTTCCACTCAGACAAAGAAAGAAATCCGAAACGAAAAAGATGCAACTAGAGTAAAAGCGGTGCAGAGTGATAAGACATCCGCAGTTCCAACGGCGGGCAAATCACTAAAAAGCGCAGCATTTACAATAGATACTAAGATTCCTACACCCGATGCGGCGAACTCTACGGAGGAAAACGCAGCAGAGACTGTAGAAGAAAGGTCAGGAACCCCTTTAAAAAAACCTAGAACAGAAGTTTGGACCCCAGAGTGGGTAGTAGACAGGCTAAGAGACCAAAAGGAAGAAAGATCCATTGGGATTCTGAGTGCCTGGACACATAAAAAGAGAACGAGAGAAGTAACCCGGGAAACGATAAAAGAAATCAACCGGTTACCAAAAGTAGAAGCTATACAAGCGATCATAGAAATTGCCTCCCCAAAAAAGTACATTAGGGGCACCCAAGGCAATCAAATGAACGTAAAATGTAAGCTTACTACATTAGATACTCTCCAATCAGAAACAGTCGAAGCACTATTGGACAGTGGATGCACGGGGAGTTGCATCGACTCCCAATTTGTGAAAGACAAAAGATATGAGAAAAGGAAGATACCAAGACCTATTCCAGTCTATAATGCAGATGGAACTCTTAATAGAAACGGAGCCATCAATGAATTTGTAATACTGCTCATGGAAATCGACGGACACGTCGAGAAGATACATCTTGCCGTAACCAATCTGGGTAACGGAAAAATGTTTCTAGGACATGAGTGGTTGAACAAACATAATCCTAAAATAGACTGGAAAGAATCGAAGTTGACCTTTGAAAGATGTCCTGAAGAATGCAGACCGAGAATCCGAATCTCTGATCCAGAGGAGGATCCGGAAATATTCTTTGAGGAACTAGGAGAAGACGAGAGGATGATACAGGTGAACCTCCATAACTTCGAAGATGCCACGATCGACGATCAATATTACCATATCAGAGCCCAAGGCACAATGGCACAGAAGCTAGCAGAAGCCGCAGGCAAAGATCGAAAAGAAGGAGGATTCAAAAAGATAGTGCCAAGACGCCTTCATCAATACAAAGACGTATTTGATAAAAAGGAGTTTGACACATTACCTGAAAGAAGGCAATGGGATCACGCAATCGAACTAATACCGGGAGATCACTCCCTAGATTGCAAGATTTATCCATTGGCAAAAGGAGAGCAAGAAGAACTAGATGCGTTCCTAAAAGAGAATCTAGAATCGGGACGGATAAGACCATTAAAGTCCTCATTCGCATCACCATTCTTCTTCATCAAAAAGAAAGACGGGAAGTTGAGACCAGTTCAAGATTATAGGAAGCTGAATGATATCACTATCAAAAATAGATATCCACTTCCGTTGATCGGGGAACTAGTAGACAAATTGAGTGGAGCAAAATACTTCACAAAGTTAGATGTAAGATGGGGATATAACAATATCCGAATGAGAGAAGGAGATGAGCATAAAGCGGCGTTTAGAACAAACCGGGGATTATTTGAACCATTAGTCATGTTTTTCGGACTGACAAATTCCCCTGCCACGTTCCAAACGATGATGAACACACTTTTCAAAGAATTGATAGATGAAGGATTAGTAATCATATATCTAGATGATATCATGATATTCACAAAGGATATAGAAATGCACCGAGCAATGACGCGACGTGTGTTAGAAATCCTAAGAAAGAATCATCTCTATCTTAAACCAGAAAAATGCGATTTCGAACAGACAGAAGCGGAATACCTGGGACTGATCATCTCAGAGAACGAAATTCGCATGGATCCGGTAAAAGTAGAAGGAATCAGCAAATGGCCAGAATGCAAAAATAAGAAGGATATACAAGCATTCTTGGGATTTGTAAATTTCTATTGAAGGTTCATAGAGGGCTTCGGGGAAGTAGCCAAACCATTGACCAAGTTAACGGGAAAAGAGGACTTCATTTGGGGAAATGAACACCAAGAAGCATTTAACACATTGAAACAATGTGTAGCTTCAGCCCCAGTGTTAGCTCTCCCAGTACCACATGGCCAATACAAAGTAGAAGCAGATAGTAGTGACTTTGCTATGGGTGCTGTCTTATCACAAAGACAAAAAGATGACTGGAAGCCAATTGCATACCTCTCCAAAGTGTTAAACCCCACAGAACGCAATTACGAGATCTATGACAAAGAACTTCTTGCCATCATGACGGCACTTAACGAATGGAGACATTACTTAATAGACGCAGAAGAGGAATTTGAAATATGGACAGATCATCAAAATCTGCTGTATTTCAAAGAACCCAAGAAGTTGAACAGGAGACAGGCGCGGTGGATGACAGAGTTGAGCCAGTACCATTTCACGATACATCATATGCCAGGAAGGAAGCATATAAAAGCAGATCTTCTCTCAAGGCAATCAGATCATAACAAAGGAGAAAACGATAATTAGGATGTAATTGTTGTTAGATGAGAAACTCTTCGCACAAATGACCCTTTCATCAAAACAAAGACAGGCAATAGCAAATAGTCAGGAAGAAGAATTAGTGATTTCAAAATGGATCTTCAAAAGGAAAGGGAATGTAGATGATTTGATAACAAAGATGAAAGAAAAGATAGAGAGGAGGGAGGATGGATGGTTTGAGGAAGATGGCTACGTAGTATTCAAAGGCAGGATCTACGTACCAAAAGATGCCAAACTAAGGGAAGAAATTATCAGACGAAACCATGACTCTACCATTGCAGGTCATCCAGGAAGATATAAAACAAAAGAGTTGATCACTCGACAATACTGGTGGCCCTATATGGACAGAGATATCACGAGATACGTGGATGGATGTGAAGTCTGCCAAAGAACCAAAACAGACCATGAGAAAGAAGGCAGCACCGCTCCATCCAAACAAAATCCCGGATAAACCTTGGCAGATCATATTGGTAGATCTGATCGGACCACTACCAGAATCAAACGGATATAACATGATAATGGTAGTAGTAGATTGATTTACAAAAATGATCAAGGTAATTCCCACACAAATGGAGATCACATCAGAAGGAGTAGCACAACTATTTAGAGATCACGTATTCAGAAACCATGGCATACCCGAAAAGATCATCTCTGATTGGGGACCGCAATTTGTTTCTAAATTCATGAAAGATCTACATATGCTTCTTCAGATAAAAGCAAATCCATCAACAGCATGGCACCCACAGACGGATGGACAAACAGAGAGGATCAATCAAGAGATAGAACAGTATCTCAGAATCTTCATAAACCATAAACAAGATGATTGGGCAGAATGGATTACCTTAGCAGAATTCTCATATAACAACAAACAACATTCTGCAACAGGATACAGCCCATTTTATTTAAATCATGGACACCATCCGAGAACACAGGAAGTAGTGAAAGTGGAGGTAAAGAACGAAAATGCGGAAGATTTTGTAAAGAGAATGACAGAAACAAGGAAGAGAGCAGAAAAATTGCTGCAAAAAGCAGCTGAACAGATGAAAAAGCAGTATGATAAGAAGAAAAGAGAAGCAGTGGAGTATAGAGTAGGAGATAAGGTGTACGTAGAAGCGACCAATATCTCAACAGATCGACCAGCCAAGAAACTGGACGATAAGAGACACGGTCCGTTTGAAATACTGGAAAAGATAGGCGAATCGGCCTATAAACTAGCGCTACCACCGACATGGCGGCCTATTCATCCAGTTTTCAACAAGATGAAGCTCACACCATACAAAGAACCACAGTTCCCTTCCCAACAGAAACCTAAACCGATACCGCCGGTAATAGTAGACGGACAAGAAGAATACGAAGTCGAAGAAGTTTTAGACTCACGTCTAAAAAGAGGAAAATTGGAATACTTAGTACACTGGAAGAACTATCCAAAAGAGGAACGCACGTGGGAACCCGAACAACACCTAAACAACTCACCCGAAAAAGTAAAAACATTCCACGATAACAACCCTAGTGCACCCCGACGGATCCGATTTCAATTACATTTCCAACCCTTCGAAAACTTCACAACGACTAGAGTCCGAAAACAATTGTTTAATTGGGAAAACGGAAAGATGGACCCCTACTTTCGGGACGAAAGTCCTAAGGAGGGGGTAATGTCACGACTTGAACCAGAAGCACTAGCCTGAGCGCTAGTTTCTTTTTTCATTTCTTTGATATCTGATCACATGACACATAAGATATGTTAAGCTGCTGCTTTAGCGCGGATAACATAAATACGTAGCTATATCAGATCACGTGACCATCACGTGACATAAGTCTAGAACCATTACAAAGAACATCAGTCAGCGCCTCATGGCTGACTTTCAGAAACATATATATAGTAGACCACCATGTACATAATTTCCTCAGTTGTTGATTAATTCTCAATCGCTATTTGTAACGCTACTTGTTTGATTTGAGCCTTCATCCCTCCGTTAACTCGGTATAGGGGATAAGGGTTTTACATGGTCCGAATGGTTGTCAGGGGGTGGTCCGCTTGTTAAGCTGTCAACCCTTCTCCAGACTGGCGGAGGAAAGTGCCCGGCCTGGTCAGAGGTATTCAAAGAGGAAAATTTTGTATTTCTAAATCTAATCAACAGAGGTTCCACACCAACTGCTGAGCTATAGTACTCCCCTTAACGCTGGGGGCCGCGTATCACAGGTATTGGTTCTTCTCCCAAAGCACTACAAGGCTGTCGCTAGGAGCACACCTATCTGCTATGCGGGATATTCCCAACCAATAACCAAATCTCCTTCACCCTGGAGTCCGGGTGCCCAGTGGGTCTTTTTGCACAATTGTGCGAGAGAGTAGAAGAGCAAGTCCTAATGTAACAACCAAGAGTTAGTTACTCTGGCGCACACAAGAATACATTTATAAAGGTAGTGAATGGGAAGTGGTTACCCCTTAGGCTGCAGAGAGTTTGTTGGTTAACAACAGGAGGACTCGCTGAGGAGTCTCCTTGATCTGTTGGGGTATTTATACTAATACAGAGTGTTTGTACCTATGTACTGTACAGTTGATAAAAGCAGTGGCTGATGATGTCAGAGGGCGCAGCCCATGTGACCAGCTCCACTGCGTGAGAGACTTTGTGTCTAAAAGAAGGATAAAGGCAGTGTTGCGCGAGAAAGTGGAGTTAGAACGAAAAGGAAAGTGCCGCATGGCACGGAGTGTGAACTATAGTAAAAAGGTTAAAGCGGAGAATGAAAATTAAAGGAAAGGTCCAAAAATTGTGTATTGTAACACTCAGATTTGGAATGCTAACCAGCCCACAATTTAGCCAGACTTGAGCATGAATTGAGATTGGCAATTCTGTGCTTATTGACAGCCTGATAGGAAAATCTCAGAGACAACTCAGAGTACTCTGAGTGCGTAGAAGATAAAAAGGCATTGGTTGCAGTAAGTAACAATACCAACCTGGATTTGCTATATATGTTTCAGAGTCAATCATCTATTGATATCAACAGCTCTCAGGACAACAATAGCAACAATCACCATGGTTCTCTTGTTGCTAGTGCAAGAACTCAAAGGTGTATAGCCACCTTAGAGGAGGAAATTAGCCAACTTAAAGGAGGAGCTCCCAAATATTGCACATAAGTTATCTTTGGTTTCACAAGTCTTGGTTTTCTCATTGAACCATTGATATCACTGGCACTTCAAACACTGAAGCAGGTAGTGAGCTATAGGTGGCAGGCACAAAAGAAGACTTGCTAGGTACAGGAGTCAAATTACTCTACTTTTCCGGGCTGCCAAAGGCGGCATATCTCTCTCACTATGGCCAATTTTTTGTTGCATGTCCTAAATTCTCGCAGCCTGGATGGGGAGGACCCCCGCATATCGGCTTGGATGTGGTATCCACTGGGCGGACGGAAACCACCCTAAAAATGGCCTGATGTCCGATCTCTATGCTGATGGAAAGGCCAAAAATCTGGCAAATGTCTGATCCTGGGAGGCGGACGGGCGGGGTGTGTCGGTAGCAATGTCTGATCAGATCTTTGGATGGATGAGGCTTCGACGGCATGTGGGTTCATGTTGATCTCACCTACCGCTGGCAAACCCTCAGTCAACCACATACATTGAGTGCACGTTGTCATATGCGGTGCGCTGTGTTGTCACACAACCTAACACGACCGTACTTTCACAGCAACTCTTTTTGCGCTGTGCCACAATGTTGCCAAACCCCAGTGCCGAGCGACGGTCACTTTTCTCACTGTCTTGCAACTCAATATTGTAGCCCTGAACACTAGGTATGTTTGTGCTCACCATTTGTTCCATCAAAACCGACAATGCCCACCCTTTCACCTTAGTCACACTCTGTCCCTTCTCTACGGGTATTATGCAAGCATTGTGCCACAGGATTCATGCTGTTCACACCGCCATACAGCTTCTTATCAAAGCCCACTGTGGGGGAGGGCCAGTTGTCGCAGATGCATTGCCAAACAGTGCCAATGATGCAGAAGATTCGGGGGCAGAGGGCATTGACGGCAAAGAGGATACCTTCAGCGGTGACAAAGATATCTGATTGGCATCCCTTTTTTACTTTTTATTGACTACTAATACATATATATACCTCCCTTTGTACACTAGTCATACTATAGCATTCTACTTACTGTCCTCTCTCTGTTTTTGTGGACGGATCCCTCGCAATCTGAGGTCATATCTTGCTGTGTGGACGGATCCCTCATGATCCAAATTTGTATCCTGCCAAGCGGACAAGGTGCTCGTGAATTGAGGTAGTATCCTTTTGGCGGACGGATGGCAGGGCAAAAATTGAGGTCCGAGTACAATGCGGACGGAACTGAGCCAAATCAGTAAAGACGGAAAGGCCAAAATTTGGCGATTTTGGATAGGACATTTATACCAATACGCGGGGGTCCTGGGTGGGGTAGAAAGAATCGTTCATGTCATGTCGGAGATTTCCTATACTGGTTGCAAGAGCACATGATTGGGTTGGTGTGATAAGCAGCGTGCAAGCAGTGTAGCTTACTAACAGTCGGCCGGTTCGGTTGCAACCAGATGGCAACCGTATTGCGTCCGCATCGATTCGCTCTCACCAACGACGACGTCCTTCAATCTGTCTGTACATAGTCAGCTTCGCCCATAACTGTATATCTGTACTGGCTTCAAGCTCTATCCTCAACAACTCTGTATCAACAACTCCTTGATAAACATGCCGAAGGACAAGCAAAAGGTTCCCAGTGTGTATCTCCACACAGAATCTATTGCTCTCGACAATCACGATGATGGCCTCAAAGCTTGCCCTTCCTGCGGGGGACGTTTCAAGCCTATGGGCCTCCCCAGACACAAAGCAACATGTATAAAGCGGATGGCAGATTTGGCGCAAGACCTTCAATTAGACAAGCAGCTTCGGAAAGAAAAAAAAGAAGGTAGGCAGATCAGTCTGACATGGAAACTGAGTACTCATTAACGTTTCTGCTTAGCGAAAAAACTAGAGAAACAATTTGCAGTGGGATCTTCGTCAAAACATGTATGGGAAAACACCGACACCAATTTTGACGTAGAAGATAACTATGGTAGGTATATATCAGTCTGGTGCTTGTCGGTCGTTACTATTTTATCTTTACAGGATCATCTCGTTTTCATGATGCACCCCCTGTCGGGCTGAACTTCATGGGGGAAAGTCTTCAAATAGATGATATCAAAACTGAGTACCACCCTACAAGTGGCCGCACTGCAAAAGTGGACCATTTCTCTGATTTCAAACGTGGATTTTCTGGCAAAGCACGCATCAAAAACTCATGTCCGTGGCAGCCATTCAAATCCCGGGTCGACTTTGAATTTGCGGAGGTCGCTCTTGAAGCAGCGTTAAATAAAGACCAGATAAATAGATTAGTCAAGGTCATTCACCAGAGTATACAAGACCCTGGCTCGTTCACTCTGAAAGATCAATCTGACCTTTACGAGACATGGAAGATTGCTTCTCATGCCCTAACTCCGGTTTGTGATATTGTACACATTTATTGCGTATGAGAACTGACAACAAATAAGTCCAGTTTGAAAAGACTGTAATCAATGTACCATATCAAGGCAAAGACCATTCCTTTGATGTTCATTTTCGTTCGCTGTGGGATTGGGCATTGGACTTATTAGGGAACCCGCACCTCTCAGAGCACTTTGTATTTGATGCCGAACGGCTTTCCAAATTTAACGGTGACAATTTTGTACAATTCATTGACGAACCATGGACAGCTGGGGATTTCTGGGATATTCAAGTACGTGATGTTGAACTTATTTGCTATTGTATACAATTAATGTACATGTTGTAGTCAAGGCTTCCAGATGGTGGAAAGCCTCTATGTTTTATTTTATATGCTGATAAAACAATTCTGTCTTCTTTCGGGACTGTAAAGGGCTATCCCGTAATTGCACGATGTGCAAACTTGCCCACTGATATCCGAAATGGTACAGGTGTCGGAGGTGGAAGAGTTGTAGGGTGGCTTCCGGTGGTATATATTATTCAATCCACACTATTATACAGAGCATAATGGTTATTCATTACAGGTGCCGGAAGATGAGGAACATAAGGGTAAAAAGAGTTTTGCTAACTTCAAGAATGTCGTATGACATGAATCATTTTTGAAAGTTGTTGAATCTTTAGAACTTCACGCCAAGACTGGCTATTATTATCAGCGCACTGAGGGTGATGTTCTTTATCTTTTCCCTATTATTTTGATACTTTCTGCTGACTACGAGGAACAGTAAGTAAATTCTTTGTATTCATCAACTAGTTATTTATCCTTCATAGATGTGCAATGTCTTCATTACGTGGGACAAATTGTAATTTTCCGTGCCCAATATGCCTTGTACCGAGGGACAAACTTTCAGATACAACACAGACATTTACTCGTCGGACCAGTGCTCATTCAGAATCTATATTACTAGAAGCGGAGCAGCAGCAAACAGCGGCAGACAAGGAAATTGTCCTCAAGAACTGTGGACTTCGTCCTGTTAAGGTGAGATATCTTTAATACTGCTATATTATGCTCATATGGGATAAGAATGTCTTTTGGAGGTTCCGTTACTCTGATGTGCATCAAGCATTATCTTGGGACCGGCTACATGCACATAATAGTGGCCTATGGGGCCATCATCTCTGGAAGGAGTAGTGGGGGCGTCATCTGTTAGCCGAAGGTGAGTATAA